GTAGAGTCGACCGACGTGTTTTGTAATAGTTAGTTCGGTGGTGTACAAAACGTGGCCTCTAGATTTTAGGTCATAAATAAACAAATAAAATATATATTGAAAACCTTATTGTAGGTACTGATCATGACATGCTCGTAAATGACATTTACGTTGCGCTCGGAATTTTGTTCTTAAGTGGGTTACTAAGGTTATAGGTTGAGTCGACGTTGTGTATTTCGTCACGACCATGACTTATATGCAAGCGTATCGACTCAGTCGCTTATACACCAAACAGCTGTAATTCATGCTAATTACAAGTGTTGTAATGACCTTGGAAGTAGGTTTCTTGTGTTGATTGCATAGATTGTGTCTTCTTGGCTCTGGTTATGTAAAGTACAGTTCATTAGTATTGCAACTGCGGAGTAATGGTAATTAATATTCAGAGTTCTGTGAAAATTAACTTCTTATGCATTGCGGAGATCTAAAGGTAAAGATAACTTTGTAGAGTTATTTTTGGAAAATTTTGTATCAGATCCATTCATGGTACCTTATGTAATATAACAAACGCCTAAAACCTAATGATAAATTGATTATATATGTTCTTAATCTTATGATATGTGTGTTTATTTAGTGTACACATTTTTTTTAATATATGTATTGTCATAATCATATACCTACATACTACTATCTTATATAGTAGCGTATTTATATTATAAGCACGCTAAATGACACTTTACGTTGAATTACGTCGTGAGTTTTGTCTATATTTATTTTGTTGTAAAAAACGACACGTGGCCTCGATCGATGTTCGATGATAGTCTTTGATTATTAACATTAGTCAATTTTTAATAGTGCAAGCTGTAAGTCAATTTTCAGATATTGTAAATGTTACGCCATTTTGCATAAACTTATCATTAAGATAAACATTAAAAAATATATAAATTTCATTCCGAATACTCAAACTTTCACCGACATCAAAATAATTAAAAACTAAAATTCTCAATTCTGAAATGACATAAAAAGTATCTATATATATATATATATATATATATATATATATATATATATATATATATATATAATTGCCGATTAGCCTAACCACATTAACACTACACCACTTACTACTTATCGTTAATTCAGATTGCTTCTTTACCGAGCCGATGTTGCGTGACCGTCCGACTTACAACCACTTTCCAAAATTACGCATCGCTAAAACTGTCCAGTCTACACACTATTATATGAAATAATTAAACAGTATAATCAATACAGTTAAAATGATACAAATCTAAAAAATAGGAAGTTAAGGAATAGAAGGAAATATTACGTATATTAATTATTTTTTATTAAATAGGTATAATATATTTCTTTATCACTTTTATGGCTTTGGTATAAGCCTCATCCCATACAAAGTAATTGGACAGCGCTAATTTAGGCTATTTTTGTTTACTTGAATAGATAATAGATGTCGTTAATTCGCAAACTTTCGAGCTATTTGATTTTACAAATATTTGGAAACTGAAAAAATTAGGCAAATTGGATTTACAAGGCCAATATTGCGTTTTTCTTTAATAAGAGATTTTTTTTAAACATTATATTCATTAACCAGTTCAACCATTCAATTTTTTTTAAACATCATATTCAATAACCAGTCGTATACATAATAATATATGGTCATGTTATGCCGTTTATTTGAACGAATTTTCCTTTTTTTCTGGTGAGATCCCAATGATATAAGTAGGTATACTAAAAATTTAATACTTGAAATTCAAAATTTTATATTAAATGAAATCTGAAGTCATAAAATAAGGAATCGAAAATAAAATTTGTTGTTGAGAGTATAAGTAGTATAAAATTGTTACTTTGTAGTTTTTCTAGTGGTACCTATAATATGTGTGGATGCTAAATTCTGTTATGAAAAGGTACCTTAGTATTTTATAGCTAGATGACATTAAGAGGCCTGACATTAGATTATAATACAGCATTTCTATCAAATGCTGTATTATAATCTTATGCAAACTCCAGGGAGCGGTTGCCATTTCGTCGTTGTTTAAAGTTATATATAAAAATGATCTTTGGTTCAGCGCCAGTTGAAATATAATCGCAAATATTCTAAACCTACATAGATTATAATATATCATGCCATTGCTTTCACTCTCAAGCCACATACAAACATACACACGGATGCACGTTAAATTTAATTTTAAATGTTAATTTATCGTTTAGTGCCCATGAGCACTAATTACTACTTGGTTTAAATTGAATTGACCAAAGAGAGTGCAAGAGGGTGTATGAGCAAAATTTACTTCCCCAGTTCTCCAGACTTAAGACTACAAACATCCAATATCGTTATTCGTTATTGAAGGCCAGCAAAGAACGGTTATCTATAGTACATACTCTTCGCTCAAGGAAAAAAGCGTGAAGATGAAATGAAATGATGAGATATACTTAAACTTGAAAGTAATGAAAGATAAAATTCTAAATAGATTTTAATATATGCTCAACATATGCAAAATGAATAAATCTCTACTATTTGCATAGCTGACTGATTTGTTACGTGCAAGCGTGAAGTGCGCGTGAATGTTATGTTACGCTTCAATGAGTACTTTTCGCTAGCATACCTAGTCTTCGTTTTTTATATCGCTTTTATTTATTTATAGTATATATAATATAATATAAAAATAAAATTAATTATTTTTTGCTTGAATAGTTTATACGAGGGTTGGTGTAGGTATTATTGTTTTTTTATTATGATTTATAATTTGGAGAGAAATATAACATTACACACACGGAAAAAGTCAGAGGCAGACGATAGTTTTGATAATATAACTATAACGTGCGTGCAGTGCAACCAAAATCTACTAAATAAAAATCAATGTTTGTTTGTTTGTTTGTTTGTTTGTTTGTTTGTTTGTTTGTTTGTTCGTATTTCATACGCTGCTATCCGTTTAACCGATTGCGATAAAACTTTTTTAACTTATTACTTGTACGCGCGAAGTTCTAAGGATAGTGTCGTACCTCCAAATGTATTTAAAAGAACATTTCTGAAATAACTACATTTATTTATCTACTAAACGTACTTAGGGACGCATCTGAGCTAAGCGAGGGTAAGTCAGTTGTGTACGTTTTAAATTACGTAGAAACTTTCTAGAATAAGTTTAACTAAATTATTTAGCATTTTATGATTGTTTACATTACATGTAATATTATGTATGTGCTAATTTTTTGCTATGAATTATAATGTATTGGTATGTAACACAATAGTATATTTATATAACGGCTTCATGAAGAATATTTCAAACATTATTTATTTATATATAAATAGGCATAGACAAAACACTTCAGTAGGTATCTCTTTTTCTCTGTTTGAGAACAAAAAAAAAATCATCGTCTTTTTTTGTTAGCTATTGGCGAGCTGTTATCAATAAAAGTAAAATTGGAAAGTTTTTTTTATATAGATAGGTAAATTCTATTTATATGTATAGTCTTCCTAATATATAATTACATATTAAGTCCATTTTCACAATTCCAATTTAAACACCCATTATTTCAACTTTATAAATCGTACGAGTATCATTTTCAGTGAATCTCGAAATAGCGTTCACCCGTGTGCCTGCCCTAGTTTATTATTTATAAATTGTCTATCTCTTAAAATGAGAAAAACAATATGTTACGTTTATTCCGGGCAGTGATCAATATTTTGATAAAAATTACATCACTGTTTTCTCAAACTCTTTAGTGTACGGTTTTAAAATACATCAACGTCAGGCCATCGATTTTCTTATTCGCGCTTCAGGTGGAAATAGCTCTTTTCGGACCATTGCATTTGCGCTCGCTGCACGAGTCTGTTCAGATCAAATAAATTGAATGCTCTTAAATAAGACGCCGTTGGACTGTAAACATTGTATTGGATTTCTTTATAGGATGTCTGTTTCCAATAATCGAATTTATAAGACGTGGTTTGGTCGAATTAAAAATAGATCGCTAACAAACTCTTTCATTTTGAAATAGCTTTTTGAACAAAAAATATATATTCTATGAGAATACGCAACAGAATTAAGCCATTAATATACCCATGATAACTACTAACATAAATAATATAAACATAAGCCATATCCAGAATCGGGCCTGGTTTACACATTAGCACCGGTACAGCATGTTGCCGGTCGGATATTGCGCTCTTATGGCGTCGTCGCGTTCGCTTAATGCGTTTCCGATGTGACGCAAATGGGATGTTTAGTACAACTACAATTTGGTTTTAAAATCTACCAACTGCTAAATGTCCATAACTAGCTTTTATTATACAAAATAAAAACTAAAATCATATCTAATATTAATTTTCACTTGATAATTTTATTTAATTCAATATTACGTAACAGTATACGAATGGCACAGTTATTTAAAAGAGTGAGACTTAAACCCTAGTCACATTCATTAATTTCAAGTTGAATGTACGTTGTTATTTGTTTCTTTTTTTATTATTAAGTAGGTAAAGATATTATCGTTTAGTAAAGTGGAAATTTCATTCACTTTAAATATAAAAATATATTTAAAATTTTAAACTACACCTTTTTGTTAGTAATGTAAATGTTGAAATCATTTTTATTTAGCAATACATAGGCACGAACTAACGGATCATAAACCATAATGTATGTGTGCCGCGTTGCCCAATGTCAAACAGTTATAATGAAGTTTGCCGTAGTAGAAAAGAAAAGGTGCTCGTCCAAAAAGGTTTGTATTCAAAGCACGAATGGACGGACGGTGACTCCTCAGAACAATTCAACTTGCTGACACTGCCATTACAAATATCACACAGAATACTAATGTCATTATGGTGTGGTGTGCCTAAGATGAGAATTTCTATATCGTGGGTAACATAAAATATTTTAAGGCAATACCTACATTAAAACGGTTGAATGAATTGTTGTTTAATTGTTTTCGCTTATGATTGAGAGTAAGGTTGCTCTATGGTAGTGCAGTAGGTACAATTAAACAGATTCACTTTGGGAAACTTGATGCACTTGATGAATGCCCAAGTACCGCGACGCTGCTGCGGCGTAGCAAGCAGCTGGTGCTGCACGGTTCGCTGGCGCCGTTCACTGCCTTCCCCCCGCGTGCCTGCCGCTCCACCGCTCTCCCTTGCGAAAAATCATAATGCGATTGCCAGGACGGCCGATGTGGAACGCTTAACGACCACTGGCATCACGCAACCAGTCTACACTCAAATGCGTTGTAACTCACACGCCATCCATCACGATGGATTAGTAGCTGCCGAGAAAGATTTCTCTTGAGGTGTTCGGTGGAGTGTAAACTAGTGACCGTCTAAGTTACCATTGGATACCGATATTCAGTGATGTCAACTTTTTAATGTTGTGGTCGTCTTGTGTCTGTTACTAAACATGTTTGCTAGCGAGATCAGTACCGTTCAACTAGCTCATAGTTCGTGAAATATATAAATAACATATGTATTTATTGACCGATTTTTCGAAAAATAATTTATATATAGTCGGTCATACACGTTGAATATTTTAGCAACCTTTTTCGTCGAAACAATTGTCCATCAAACATGAATTAATTCTTTACGCGTCTCGCTTACGTCCGGTGGTTCATGCTTTCCAAGTGCTCATGTTTTCAAGCAGTCTTTTCTTTGCGAACCATCGGTTAGTTCGCCTGTGTATAGATCTTATGTGCAGTAGTGTAAACTTTATCAAGTGATTAAAATATAAACGGTAGTTATCGTCTAATTATCGTTTTAGTATGATAAGAGTATTAAAAATTGTGGAATGCCGCGACAGTGGGCTTTTATCGTTGGTGTTATAAAGTGATGTGTTTAAAAAGTGTATGTAAATGATAATTAGTGCTTAATTTGCAATAATGTGGGGTGCTGCAGTGTCAAATCCGCCGCATTATCATTACATGCAAGGAGCCAGTAGCCCGCATAGTGGACCTCCTCCACAACGTGGTCCTTCTGGACCTATATTATCAGGTCCTAGTTCACGCCACTTAAGGCCTCAATCTTCATATTCCTTGCCACATGGGAGCAATGGACCCGGTCGATGGAGCTGGTCTGGAAGCAATATATCCTCGTTTGACCGAAGGCAGCTGAAGGTACCGCCACAGCCAGCCAGACCAGCGCCGGTACGACCATCGCAAAATAAAAGCACAGCTAACTATGTAAGTCAGAAAATAGACTCTTGTTTATGAAAAAACGATATGTATTATTTTTTACTTAAAATATAGAATTAACTTTTTAATTACACTTTGAGCCTGATTTGTAAAAGTTATATTATTTATAATCTTTATTGCAAATCGTGTCGAATGTCGACTGCGCACGCGTCACCCGACACGAATGCGTTTCTAATATACGCCCAAGGTATGCGGCTTCTGTCATATTATCTATAACGCAATATGTTATTTTATTATGACAATAATATCAGTGAATTGCAATGCGATTGGTCAATCTCCAAGTTGCATGACTCAAACAATAAAAAAAACAACTACCTACGTCACTTTCATTGAAAACGGGTTTAGTCCATGTAATGGATTAGAGATTGTGCGCACAGCGACAATTAAGCACTTTAACCAGCAAGTAACTTACGATTTCATCTAATGATAATAATTTATTAAATCCCGTCTTAGCTAGTTCATAATTGTAGGCTTTCCTCGGTAGGTGGATTAGAAGAGTTGGTGCTTATAATGTGCAGGAAAATAATATCTAGAAAAGTCTGGTTTTAAAATTCAGCTGCTTTCCATGTTTATTTATAAATTGTTCATCTGAATGTGAATTTATGAGTAGATAGAATGTGAATGAACTAACTCTAATAAGACAAACTCTGATGGGATCTTGATGATAACATTTTAAGTTTATTTAAAGAAATAAAAATTTTTATAAGAAAATAATTAAGTTCTTCTTAGTATATACAAACTTAGCATTATTTACGTAATTCTTACGACACTACGTAAAAAAATATTCGCATTCCGGTAGAGCTCGTTTATCGAGCGGTTTCTATATAGGGTAGAATCTAATGAATGGCAAATGTAGGCGTGAGCGGTGAGGGCAGGCGCAGACTGGTAGCCGCGAGGTTTTAAAGCGAGATAAATTCATACATGGTATTACATATAATATTGCCGGACTTGTAATTATTAAGTATTAAATACACTGGGAAGTTGCAAAATCTATCTATTATTCTAAAAACAATCGAATAAGTTTTGCAAAGTACCTACTCGTGTTACGAGGTAAAATTTTGCAATCGAACTATTATGGAGAAATTGTAAAATGGCACAATATGGAATTGTAACTTCCATTCCATATATATATCTAGGGTATTTTTGTAAAAATTCAAGTAATATAACGCATTATCAGAAAAAAAGGAAATAGTGATTCAAATTTTGACAATTTAATATCGTTTATCGTCAATTTTATAAATAGCTAAATAAATTATTTAATAATGTGTTTTCTATCTCTGACGTCTTTTCGTTTCTCAGATAAGATTAGTGCCAATAATAAACATGAACATATTGAATAAATTATATCAGGGACACCTTAAAATATGCTTAAAGTATAATATAATGTAAACCATTATCTTAAGGCTTAAGTAATCCGTTGATATCATATTTTAATCTGCTGATTTGTCGCTTGTATTATAGAGGTATTCATTATAAGAACTATATTTAAACATTCCAATGTCTTCGCTTTTCGCTTCCTTTATCAAAAGTTGATTTCAATACGACGTTATAATTCTATCAGTAAATAAACGATATTATATATTTTACATTTTAAAGCTACTAACGACTCACCCTCGCTCCTCTCGGGTTCGTCCCTACTTACATTTTAACGTTTAGTATAGATTTCTCAGAGATGAGAAATCTATTTCCCCGCAGTAAAAAGTATCCTATATGTTGACCCGGATAACCAGCTATTATCATACCAAATTTTATCAAAATCCCTCTACTAGTTTTTTCGTGATGCGGTAACAAAGACAGGCAGATAAAAATTCTGAAACTATAGATTCGGCCTCTGTATCGATAATAATGTCTATTTCAATAAGATTTTCCAAAAAATATTTATGTACAGATTCGACTTAGTTCTCCGGGCCTCCTACTACCTCCACACAATCAAAACATCAAAATCACGTCAATCTGTTGCTCTGTTTCGACGTGAAAGAAGGACAAACAAACACACTTTCACATTTATAACATTATATAAGTATGGATTTTATTAGCCTCTGACTAGTAGGTGTGTACATTCATAATTATAAAGCTTTTAACAGCAATGCTTAAATGAAGCCAAAAAGAAAACTGAATAGGTATCCTTTGTGTATTCTAAAAATTTCGTTACCATTTACAAAGGAAGTTTTAATCTTGCTCGTCGTTATCCGATTGCGCTGTACACGGCCATTTTTAATTAAAATCGTAACAACGTCTCAACAAAGACGGGATTGAGCCCATTTCTATTAACTTTTTCGAGGTTTGTATAACGTTCGGTTCTTTTTCATTTTTCGAAGATTAGACTAAAGTTAATATTAGGTTTTGTTACTGATAAGTCTTATTCTATATAACCTTTATGGTTTAAATTTAAAGAGGTATCTAACTCTATAATAATAGAGTAAGATTCTAAAGGTCGTGCTAGGTCGAAGGACCTACTTTGTTTTAACTTTTAGTGTAGTTAAAATTTTAAGAATAAATTTTACCGCTAAACCGTGGGGTCTCTTCAGTAACAAAGAAATAATAGTTTTAAAAAAGTTGACTGTTATTGATGGTTATTTAAAACCAAAAAATGAACCCTTCCCAAACTAGATCCCAGCAAGGGATATATTGTGATTTAAAAAAGAAAAGCCAAATAAAATGATGCGTTTTTCATTTCCGTAATTTTACTGATGATTGATAAATCAGCCATTAGGGAATCAGTTTGTAGGTATTACGTATTCATAGATGGAGTTGTTTACATGCGATTAGTTCATCGGGGTTAGAAATGGTTAATGTCACTGAAATGTGTTTTGTTATAAACAATATGAATTTTGTTGTATTTTATGTTATAGTGAATACTTTTTATAAAATAAAATGACTCCACAACGGATTATCTGTTTTACAGATACTCAAGGTACATAAAAATATGAAACTATCTAGCCTCCGGGGCTGTTAGACCTTGGACTTTAATATAATTTAAAATAATGCTTGAAGATGACAGATTTTGTGTAGTTTAATAAACCAGACATTGTCTTGAACGCTGTCTGAAGGAGAGGGAACTCATTAAATGTTTTGTTTGCGAATATAATTAAAAAATATACAAAATACATACCTATAATTTTTTTTTTATGGGACTAAGGGGGCAAACGGGCAGGAGGCTCACCTGATGGAAAGTGATCACCGCCGCCCATGGACATCTGCAACACCGCAGGGCTTGCAGATGTGCATAAATGATTGCTAAATAAAGTATAATGAAATTGTTTGCAATTTTTGATACTAGATAATATTCTGTACCAGGTTGAAAATGTGCCAAAAATGAAAAATATCAGAGCTTTGGGTTTGAATAAGTTGTAAGCCTCGTACAATCCGGTCACGTCTCTCAATGTCCCTCGAGCAACCCGAATAAAATGATCCACGTGCTAGGTCCGAACTATGATTACTTTTTATTTCTTCGTTCATTATATTTAAACTTTTTTTGTATTGTGTATCTTCTTAAAATAAATAGTGAGTTCATTTTCATAAAATTATAATTTCATAAGTATTTGATATATTTTTGAAATTGTTGCTAATGAATTTATCCCGTTATTTTAATGGAATTTTTCGATTACAATTCTTGTCACATTTCCATTATCCATACTAATATTATAAATGTGAAAGTGTGTTTGTTTGTTTGTTTGTTTGTTTGTTTGTTTCTTTGTTTGTTTGTTTGTTTGTTTGTCCTTTTTTTATATCGAAACGGAGTGATCACTTGGCGTAATTTTTTGTGTAGAGATAGTTGCAGGGCTGGAGAGTGAGATAGTTAGCACGTTATAAATACGTGTATTAGAATTTTTTGAAATTCATCATATAAGGGGGTATAATAGGGGATAAAAATTTGTATGAAACTAACTTTTTAGATAGTTTTTTGTAATTTTAACGCGAGCTAAGCCGCGGGTTCTGCTAGTTTATTATATTTTCGATTATAATTCTTTTCACGTTTCGATTACTATTCACGCTTTAATTGAATTAACTGATAATATCTATTTCAATAAGATTTTCCAAAAAAATATTTAATGTACAGATTCGGCTTAGTTACAATTTTATTATATGTATAGATAAACGTGTTTTTTAGCTTTTTAAAGCTAAACCTATAATAAATTAGTCTTAAATAGTCCCAATGTCTGAACGTCAAACAATATAATAAGTTATATAATTTATTTACCTTCGTTTAGCGACAAACATTTCTCCACGTCTAATGAATTCAAACAGTGTCAACTGTTGAATTCATGAATAATTTGAAAACAATTTCGGACAAAGTGAGTTAAAATTTAAATAACAATCGATTTTTCACGCAGTGGCCGTATGTTTTGTAAAACCGTCACGTACTGACCAGCCCGCGGGCCTTGACTCTGCAGCAATGTCATCCAAATGCCAAGAGGTCTTGACTCGGGCACTGTCTGAGACTTAATTGTAAAAATATTAATATTTATTTAATAGCTTCGAGTATTTATAGCTTAATTATAATTGATCTATGAGAGAACGCTCTTTCTTTGTTGTTTTTAAGTGATGAAGACGTTTTAACAAAATATTTTATATCTAGATAAGTAGGCACATTTTCTGATTGTTATCACGTTCATTTTATTTAACTTCAATTACAAGCAGGAATGTAATGCTAAAACATTGTGGAAGAATCCAATTTTAAATTCCTTTATGAGTAGAACATAAATTATAATCTTTAATAGATATATTTTTATGCATTACGTTTTATCTTGTCGACAAGAATTTTGTTTTAATAATAAGATAAAATTTGTTATACTTTCCTTTCTCCAAAAAATTAATTAAAAATAATAGGTACGGTTTTGTCAAGTGTTCGTGTAATCAATAACAAATTATTAAACGAAGATGTAATTGAAACGAGTTTATAGAAAATGCTCAGTTCCTATGTTATATTAAATAATCGATATATAGTCAATATTATATTTTCAATTTTACTTCTTTTCCAGAAGGTCGATCCCGAGCTGATCTTCACGAAACAAGAGAAGATCGGCAAGGGTTCCTTCGGTGAGGTGTTCAAAGGTGTTGACAATAGAACACAACAAGTGGTTGCCATCAAAATAATTGACCTCGAAGAAGCCGAAGATGAAATTGAAGATATTCAACAGGAGATCATGGTGCTGTCACAGTGCGATAGCCCGTACGTCACCAAATATTATGGATCTTACTTGAAGGTAGGTTTTTTTGAAAATTTCATATGTTAACTAAACAGCAAGACGATCTTCTAGATTTATATATAAAAAAAATACAACGTGACTAAGTTATAATAAATGAATATTGATATTTTTTATTGCGTCGCTATTTTCTATTATGATTACGATAGTTTTCAGTACATAATTTAGAACGATAATGATAATATACTTAGGTAAGATCTAACGTCAGACTGAAGTCACGTAGAATAAAAATAATCCAGCCCGTCATCAATCACTGTCCGCACATGTTTATCAGCTGACAAACGAGGTTCATGTAATAGGGTCTGGTGCTATTATGTGGTCTATCCCAACTTAAGTGACACCATTACAAAAAAAATCCTTACAAAAGATATATAATAAAGTCCTTACCATGATATTAAATATTGATATATGTACATTCTTTTTAGAGTGTAGGTATATTCATAATTAATTTTAATATAACATCGACGTGTCTTAACAGAAAAATATCGTACTTTTAAACTTACCATTATTATGTATATAAATGCTAAACACGTTTGCATCATTTACACGAAGCGTGTGAAGAGTTCCAGTGATTGTACTGATTAACGATACAAAATAATGTTCTACAGGAATTCCTTAAAAATTTTCCAAAACAAAATATGGCTGAAGCTATATCAAGCATATTTATAGCATTAGTTGAGATATATATATGTATTCATATTTGTGGAATCTATTACTCTTTACATTTTACAGAATTGTTATCTATACAGATAAATAAAATTGAATTGTCTGTTTGTAATGTCAAAATATTAACGTTTTACTAAATGCATAAGAAATTATATATGGTACTTATAAGAAAAACTCATTTTTTTTTAAATTATTCTCTGTCTGTGTGTCTGTTAATCTCTGAAATGGCTTGACTGATTTTGACGGGACCTTCACTGGAATATAGTTAATGTTATAGGGAGAAACATATGCTACTTTTATTTAAAAAAAAACGAATTAGGGTTCCGCTCAAAAAAACATACCTAGGGACGAACCCGAGCGAAGCGAGGGTGAATCGCTAGTATAATATATATTTTATAAGTAAACTCGTTTTCTTATGATATTTTATATATTAGTTATGTTTTAGCACACTCCTAAATGCAAGTCGGGAAATTGACACGACATAGTCTATTAATCACCGTCTCATTGCCATTCTAACCTGGAGTGCTGTAAGGCGTGATTCTATGTGGGCGATTTCGTGAATGGCTTTGAAAACAATAGTTCACCCATTGTTGCGTAAAGAGTTTACTCACGAGAAAGTCGGATTGCTCATAATGAAAAACTCTTTTGATCTATACTCAACTTGTTTATATGTATATTGTCGGAATGTGTATTGTCGAAAACTGTTAACAATAGGGACGATGTCATGATCTATCTCATGATTCTTTTGAGCGGATAGGAAGGGTGGCGTTCCGCCAGAGCGGACAATAACGTCTGGTCCAGTACAAATGTTATGATCGATATTTGCATTTTTATTACCTTCGCTGTTTACAGTCCGGTTCGTTTTAATATTTCCTTTGTTTACATAGATATTTGTTACTTTAATATATAATACCATTTTACTCGTAATATTTGTCAGTGAAGAAGATACGTGTCATTTTTGATAAATTGTATTTCATTTTGAATTGCCTTCGATCATGTTGCTATTGCAATCTTGACACACTTTCGAACGCCGTCGTTATGCGTGTCTTGCAAAATACGATGCAATGTAAACGACTTTGCCACTCGAATTTGCAATAAGTATTATTTTGTGCTAAGGTAACAAAGGATTAGATTATATATACTTAAGTTAAAATTTTAATCTTATTTACTTATCGAATTGACGATTTTCACTGGATCATTAGTAATTTATTAGTAATTATTAATTTCCTATGACTGATACGACGTATTGTTATAATATCTCTACAGAATATGGCCGTGTTATTGAATTTCCTATGAGATAGTTGTTCTAAGTTTACCGACAGTTTCCTCAAAGCAAACATTCAAACACCTACAATATTGTTATTGTATATTATAACAGAGAAGTGCTCTCCCGTTTTAGTTATTATTTTGTACTAGTAAAATTAAACGTTATTAATATTAAAAAGGTATCTTGTGTTTAAACAGATTGCTATCTTTCTAAGTATTATTTCTTATTTTAGGCCGAATAATTATTTAATTGACCATCGCTTACATATTGTTATTTGAGAGACAAAACTTAAACAGTGGAAGCAGTAGACTGGTTAGGTAGAGAAAAAACTGCCCAAGTCGAACTCAATGACCGTCAAAATATATTACAGCGTAGTATCCACTCGTCCTTCAAACGGTTTTGTCATATGAAAACAACAAATCCTGCCTGATATTTTTCACATAATTGAATAACTTTATTTTTAACTTAACTTCGCTCTCAATCTATTATAACATAGTTTTGTACTAGGTACAAAGAGCAATTTCCAGATTATATATTTTAGGTGTGTGACAAAAAAAAAACACATCGTCATTTATTTGGTATTTATTTAATTACTTTTATATGTTATTTAACTTATGTTTGCACGAACGTCATTAAGTATTATCGGTTTTATAGGTTTGAGACAAGCGTTAAGGTACTGTCGTAAATCATCGTTCAAGTGTTGTTACTGCAGTGGACATAGCAGATTCGATTCCCGTTGTATCAATAATTAATTATGTTAGGATAAGGGCCGTTATGAGTTATTCTTGTCACTTGTCACTCTATTATTCTGAGATTGAGCCAGTGCTGATCATGTCTTTATAACGTTCCTCTAAGAGATAAACCGTTAAGACAATCTGATCAAACTAATATTATAAATGCTAAAATTTGCATATGCGTATATTTGTTTTGTGTTAAATACATACATACATATATTATAATAATAAAGATAGATTATAATATAATAATAAAGATATAGACTACTGTTAGGCATATAAGAAGCACCCGAGCCATGCGAGGTTAAGTCGCTAGTGTAAATATATATATTACAAAACATACCTTTATTACATTTTGTTACGGAAGCCACACGAACACTCCACTATTTCTACAAAAAACATCGGAGTTGACAGGTTATATCCGCATACGTACTGTATTATTTGATTTAATGGCCCGTTAATCGCGATTTGTTCTTGGTGAAAGTGCAAAAGTGTTGCTTCGTGCGGTTGGAACGCTTAGTGTATTGTTGTCAAGTTTTGATTCTACTTTGATTCGTTTAAAAATACTATGAGATAAAAATATATTTATTTCTGATAGATCTTATTAGAGAAGAAATCTCATACAACCACCACACATAAAATATACTTAGCTTTTAAAAGAGAAATGTAACAACCATGTCTGTTTTGCAATTATTTAATATAGTTATTAATGTAAATTATACTGAATAACTTCTTTATATTATAAACTTTCAATTACATACATTTGCATTATTTTAATCCTTTATAAGAGCTAGAATGACGTGGACGTTGGAACTTTATGCTTGTGCGTCATCACGTTCAACAAATTAAAATATGACGTGACTTCGTCTTAGGTCGGCTTAGATGTTAGCTTTATCTAAGACATAACTTATGAAATAAATCTTATATCTTTTAGGTTTTTTGTAATTTAAAAATTAAAAAGTTAAAAAAATAATTAAGAATAATAATTTTAATTCAGTTTGCTATGTAGTAGTAGGTAGTAGACTCATGACGTTCAGTAAAAAATTGTAATAATTTTGATGCTGAATAAAATATTTTGAATTTGAATTTGTTATTTTTTTGATCCGCACAGTAAGAACTAAGAACGTAAATCTAAGAAAGTATTATAAGGCAACTATTGAATAATTGAGGTGGCTTATAATAAAAATGTTCATACATTTACTTAAGTGAGCTAGTTTATAAACTAATAATAAAAAATATGAAAGACAACGTAATTTAAACTCTGATGTGTGTGTAAATTATTTGTAATATAACAGTTATTATTTATGAGCCTATAAAGTTGTCTGGACAAAGAATTTTTAAAAAATACAACAACTTTGTCTATTTTATAATGTACTATAAATCATTCTTAAGTATTATTTAATAAGAAATGCATTTTTAAATGTTTTGATAATTTTTTCAAACTATGTCTGTGGCTAGTTTTGTCTTTTTTTTCATATTATACCAATAGATCTCGACCCCGCGATAAAAAGTATCCTATATGTTGACCCGGATAACCAGCTATCACCATACCAAATTTCATAAAAATCCCTCTAGTGGTTTTTCTGTGATGCGGTAACATACAGACAGACAAAAATTCTAAAAACTATAGATTTGGCCTCTGTATTGATAATAATGTTTATTTCAATAAGATTTTCCAAAAAATATTTAATGTACAGATTCGGCTTAGTTACAATTTTATTATATGTATAGATTAGATTGAGGGTAAATGTAACTGATATTCATAACAATCTTAGTTAAAAATGTCAATTTATGCGGGCGTTTAACTTTTTTGTTCGTGGTGTGGCTGTATTCCGTGTTAGAATTTACCCAGTAAAATTTATGGACACGGATATTGAAACGACCGAGGTGAAGGACGTTTGTGACTCATAGGGTTTTTGGCTTTTTCTTTTCGGAAGATTATTATGATTTAGTAAAGTTCACTAAATAACATATTGCTTTTAATGTTATCAATGAACATAATATTCCTTTGAAAAAATATGGTTAAAAATTATTATACAGATGTAAATTTTTCATGGTCATATGTTTTTGCTAAATGCATACCAATATAGCTAATAAATAATCCTTTTAATAGAAATCGAAAATAGAAAGTGTAATTAATTTTCTCGCTAAACGTTACTGTAGGTACTTTGAAGTTATAGGTCTCTTCCTGTAACTTTTATGTAAACAAAAGCATTAATCCATTTCCGGAAATCTGCAGGGATGTAAACGTATGTAATACCGTCATATGATTCATATCCTTGTACCTCTACCGAATAAATTATACTTGTAAACTTCTTATAATTATTTTAAGC